TTTTTTTTTTTTTGAGACAGGGTCTCATTCCGTCACCCAGGCTGGAGTGCAGTGACACGATCATGGCTCACTGCAGCCTCAACTTCCCACGTTCAAGTGATCCTCCCACCTCAGCCTCCCAAATAGCTGGGACTACAGGTGCATGCCACCATGGCCAGCTAATTTTTGTATTTTTTGGATAGATGATGTCTCATCATGTTTCCCAGGCTGGTCCCAAACTCCTGGGTTCAGGCAATCCACCTGCCCCTACCTCCCAAAGGGCTGGGATTACAGGTGTACACCTCCACGCCCGGCCTTCAGGGGCCTTTCAGGTCTGACTCAGACCTTCCTCACCTCCTTCAAAGTTTCCCTCAAATTCTGCTCACAATTGAAAACCTCAGCACCCTGCCTCCTCTACTGAAGATCCATCCCCAGCCGGGCGCAGTGGCTCACGCCTATAATCCCAGCACTTTGGGAGGCTGAGGCAGGCAGATCATCTGAGGTCAGGAGTTCCAAACCAGCCTGGCCAACATGGTGAAACCCCATCTCTACTTAAAATGCAAAAAAATTAGCCGGGCGTGATGGTGCATGTCTGTAATCCCAGCTACTCAGGAGGCTGAGGCAGGAGAATTGCTTGAACCTGGGAGGGGGAGGTAGCAGTAAGTCAAGATCGCGCCATTGCACTCCAGCCTGGACAACACAGTGAGACTGTCTCACACAAAAAAAATACTAATAATAATCCATCTCCTGCCTCTGATTTCTCCCCAGTCCTCCCCTAGAACCTTCAAATCACCACAGATGCCCTGTACCACACCCCTAGCTCCCATATTTACCATAAACACCCCCCTGAATGTCCCAGGCAGCCTCACCATGTTCTCTGTGTCAGGGCCACGGGCCATCCGGGCCAGAACGTGTAGGCGCTGGGCCCGGGCCCACACGGCCACGTCCTCAGACCCTGGCCCACCCGGCCCTCCAGGCAGCATTGGGTAGATGAAGCCACGGTAGACCAGGGACACATCTGTTTCTGCGTTGGGTGTCAGGGTGATGGTCGTGCTGCGGACAATCGACACCTATGCAACCAGGGATGGGTGTATACGTGAGTCCCTTTCTGGACTGTCCCCAAGTCTCCACACCCCTGAGGCCACATCAGAGCCAGAAAAGACTGGTCAAACTAACTTTCTTCCCCATTTTACCAAATGAGAGATTGAGGCCGAGGGACAGGGGTTAGGTGGCTTGTCAAAGGTCACTCTGGGAAAAGAGGCAAGACCTAAATTCAGACAATAGACAACAGGGTCCCAGAGCCCACCTTTACCCCGGCCTCTCGCCATTTCCATCTCACATTAAAACTCCAGGACTGGACACTTCAGTGTCTTCTTATCCAACTCCTCACCTTTTCAGCTAAGCACTTCAAAGCCCAGATCTAATATTCAAAGTGACAAAGTGCAAGATTTATTTTCCTGGTGTGTGATTTTGTAACAGCAGAACAGTGGAACAGTCCAAGTGTTCACCAGTGGGAGGCTATTTAAATAAACTACAAATGTAAATGGAATGTCATACAACTGTTTAAAAAAAAAAAAGAATGAAAGCCAGGCACGGCTAGCACTTTGGGATGCCGAGGCGGGCAGATCACTTGAGGTCAGGAGTTCAAGACCAGCCTGACCAACATGGTGAAACCCCATCTCTACTAAATACAAAAAATTAGCCTGGAGTGGTAGCGTGCACCTGTAATCCCAGCTACTTGGGAGCCTGAGGCAGGAGAACCGCTCAAGCCCAGGAGGCAGAGGTTGCAGTGAGCCGAGATTGCCCCATTGCACTCCAGCCTGGGCAACAAGAGCGAAACTCCATCTCAAAACAAACAAAAACAAATACAAAAACCAGCCAGGAATGGTGGCACATGCTTGTAATCCCAGCTGCTCGGGAGGCTGAGGTGGGAAGATCACTTAAACCCAGGAGGCAAGGTTGCAGTCAGCTGACATTGCTTGCCACTGCACTCGAGCCTGGGCGATAGAGAGAGACTCCATCTCAGCTTGCAGTGAGCCGAGATCTGGCCACTGCACTCCATCCTGGGCGACAGAGCTAGACTTCGTCTCAAAAAAAAAAAAAAAAAA